GAAGCTGCGGGCCGCTTCCTCCCCAAATTCCTTGAGGCTGGAGATCAAAGACGTCAACCTGGACGATGAAGGGAGCTACGAGTGCTGGGCGGAAAACTCCCTTGGCGAAGCCCACGCTTCTTTCAACCTCTCCGTGGAGAGTGAGTAGCTGGGCTCAGGCTGAGAACCTGTGGGTAGCCCCCCTGAGTTACGACCGCCCTCGAGCCCAGCATTTATCTTGCTAAGCNCCCCCCCCCCCCCCCGTTACGACCTTTCTTGCTACAGTTGTTAAGTGAATAATTGCAGCTAGCCACACGGTCGTTAAGCGAATATGGCTTCCCCCCGCCCTTGACTTTGCTTATCAGAAGATCGCCAAGGGGGATCACGTGATTCCCACGACACTGCGACCGTCGTAAACACGAGTCAGCTGCCAAGCGTCCAAATGTTGATCCCGTGACCGCGGGGAGGCTGCCACGGTTGTAAGTGTGAAAAGCGGTCGTAAGTCACGGTTTCCAGTGCTGTTGTAACTTTGAATGGTCACTAAATGATGTAAGTCGAGAATGACCTGTATAACATAGACCAGGGCTTTTCAACCTTTTCACCCATTGTACCACTTTTAGGATAGGGCAACATCTGAGTACCACCAGTCGCCTAGCAAGGGGTCAAAAATTTGATGACCAAAAAAAGGAAAAAAGTGATGAAGTACAGGTAGTCCTCGACTTACAACAGTTCGCTTAGTGACTGTTCGAAGTTACAACGGCACTGAAAAAAGTGCCCCCCAAGCCACAGCTGAGCAAGACACCTGCCTGTCCACTCGGCGGCGCTCTTCCTCCTGTCCGAGGTTTCCATTGTTGTGAGCATTTCTGTTGAGGATTGGCAGCGGGGTGGGGTGGGGGTTGTTTGGTTTTTATTCCCCCCGTCTGCTGGGTGGCTGCAGCAGGTTTTGCTCACTTCCCATGACCCTGGGACACTGTGACCGTCATAACTATGAATCAGTTGCCAAGCATCTGAATGTAAATCACAAGACCCTGGAGAGGCTGCAACATTCCAGCTGATTGGCGCTTCTTCTGGGCTCAGCAGAAGCACCAGGATCAGTGCAGAGCTCCAGCTGGAGCCTGGCGCTGATCCTGGCGCTTCCACTGAGCCCTGACAGCCCCGAAGAAGCGCCAATCAGCTGGAAAGCATCACTGATCCTGGCGCTTCCGCTGAGCCCTGACAGCCCCGAAGAAGCGCCAATCAGCTGGAAAGCATCACTGATCCTGGCGCTTCCGCTGAGCCCTGACAGCCCTGCAGCTCCAGCCGTCTCTCGCTCAGGCTTGTGCGGTGCTGCCACCGGTTCAGCTCATTCCCCTCCCCTGCTATCACTTTTCTAGGATGGTCCCATATCACCTGCCAGGTGCCCATGTACCACAGGTGGTCCCCGTACCACGGGTTGAAAAGCCCTGACATAGAATCACAGAGCTGGAAGGGACCCTGGAGGTCTTCTAGTCCAAGGAGGAGACCCTCTCCCATTCCAGACCAGGGGCTGTCCAATCTCTTTTTGAAAGCCTCCAGTGATGGAGAACCCACAACTTCTGGTGGCAAGCTGTTCCACTGGTTAACTGGACAATAAGAACAAGCGGTTACCCTCCCTCATCCTCTTCATGTTGGTTTCCTCCTCTGTCGTAGGAGAACGAGGTCCTCTGTGCTGTAGGAGGTGGGGTTCCTTCTGGTTGAGGAAGGGTCAGAAGAGTAGGAAGGAGGCCACTTAGGGGCGATGGTTGAGGACGCTCACTCCATCTGTTGACTTGGCCTGAGGGGAGCTGGAGAACAGCTGAAGCTGGAGCTGGAGAACATCTGCCCTCCGTCCACTCCAGCTTCGCCGTTCTTCTCCCCGGGCAGCTATCAGGCTGGTGATCGATCCCGCCCCAGAGGTGCATGAAGGGCAGCGTGTCTCTCTGATCTGCCAAGATGCCAGCTTCCAGCCCTCCGCCGTCTACACCTGGTACAAGGACGCCAGATGGTTTGCAGACGGTCCGGCCACCTCCTTCCTACTCCCAGCTGTTACTCCCCGGGACATGGGATCCTACGTGTGCCAGGTTCAAGACGAGCGGGGCGTCAGGACCTCTCCAGCCGTCACCCTCTATGTGCACCGTGAGTACCTCCGGCTTTGTGGTGGAGGACACAACTTCCTCTCTGTCTGTCTGTCTGTCTGTCTGTCTGTCTGTCTGTCTGTCTGTCTGTCTGTCTGTCTGTCTGTCTGTCTGTCTGTCTGTCTGTCTGTCTGTCTGTCTGTCTGTCTGGATCCCACGCGCTGTCAGACCCGTAGCAGTCTCTCCTCAGCCCTGTTGTCTTTGCTCTTCGGGGAGATGTGAACTATTGACTGGAGAAGGTGGGTGGGAGGCTTCAGCAGGTCTGGGGGTCACCAGGCTCAAAAGGGGATCGGACCCTTTTGGCAAGGTGAGCTTTTAGGGGCCCTGGAGGTGCTATTTTACACTCATGCCCTATAATGATTGATCTGTGAGGTCATGGATATACTCCT